GGGGACATCTGCGGGGACACGGGAGTGGGGACACGGGGACACTCTGTGAGGACATGGGGACACTCCGGGATGGCCCTGAGGCCACCACGTGGGGACACTCCGGGATGGCCCTGAGGCCACCACGGGGACACTCGGGGATGGCCCTGAAGCCACCACGGGGACACGGGAGGGGGTGGTGGGGACACTCTGGGATGGCCCTGAAGCCACCACGGGGACACTCTGGGATGGCCCCGAGGCCACGTGGGGACACAGGAAGGGGACACTCCAGGATGGCCCTGAAGCCACATGGGGACACGGGAGGGGGCAGTGGGGACACTCCGGGATGGCCCTGAGGCCACGTGGGGACACTCCGGGATGGCCCCGAGGCCATGTGGGGACACTCTGGGATGGCCCTGAGGCCACCACGTGGGGACACTCGAGGATGGCCCTGAGGCCACGTGGGGACACTCAAGGATGTCCATGAGGACATGGGGACACTCCGGGATGGCCCCAAGGCCACGTGGGGACACTCTGGGATGGCCCCGAGGCCACCACGGGGACACTCTGGGATGGCCCCGAGGCCACCACGTGGGGACACTCTGGGATGGCCCCGAGGCCACGTGGGGACACGGGAGGGGGGTGGTGGGGACACTCCGGGATGGCCCTGAAGCCACCACGGGGACACGGGAGGGAGCGGTGGGGACACTCCGGGATGGCCCCGAGGCCATGTGGGGACATGGGAGGGGGCGGTGGGGACACTCTGGGATGGCTCTGAAGCCACGTGGGGACACAGCGGGATGGCCCCGAGGCCACATGGGGACACAGGAAGGGGACACTCTGGGATGACCCTGAGGCCACCATGGGGACACGGGAGGGGGTGGTGGGGACACTCTGGGATGGCCCTGAAGCCACCACGTGGGGACACTCTGGGATGGCCCCGAGGCCACATGGGGACACTCCAGGACAGCCCCGAAGCCACATGGGGACACTCGGGGATGGCCCCGAGGCCACATGGGGACACTCCAGGACAGCCCCGAAGCCACCACGTGTCCCCAACACGTCACTCACCTGCACCAGGATGCGCGGGCGCTGCGGGGACGGGAAGGGCACGTTGTGCATGAAGTGCGAGATGTGCCTGCGGGCGAGCGGCCCCGTC